TCAACCCAGATCTGCTCAATAAGGCCATTTAAAGCTTCACACATCTTCTTAGCACTAGCTCGCGTGACTGGACCTCCTTGGGTGTGTAATGGATCACATGACGTGGTAGATATGCTGTCGTCTTGATTCCCATCAAATAGCCTCCCCCAATTAGGGTTACAAGCCCCTTTAAATAGGGAAAAGTAATTCTAATCAGAATAGGAAACTAACACCCTAAGCCCTAATCACAATAACCATGAATTGGGCCTTAAATTAATGAATGTTCAGCCCAAAATAATATAAAAAACGTGAAAATCACTAAAAGTAACCTAAAGTAACATGAAATGTCAGTTTGTTACAAATTGCGACAGAATTGTGAAATTGACGCAAACTGTGTAATTTAGCATAAATGACCTCAATTAAGCTTCTCTTGAACCTGAATGATGTTTATCATGCCTTGATAATCATCAAAGCGTCGATTTACTTCTTGCAGGTTATTATGAACCCAGATCTGCTCAATAAGGCCATTTAAAGCTTCTCGCATCTTCCTAGCTCTAGCTCTCGTGACTGGACCTCCTGGAATGTGTAATGGATCTCTTGACGTGGTACATGTGGAGTCATCTTGATTCCCATCATTCCCTCTCTCCTCAAAAAGATTTGTCCTCAAATTGTCACCTATAACAAAAGGAGAAAGATCAGAAACATTAAAAGTAGCACTAACATTATACTCACCAGGAAGCTCCAACTTGTATGCGTGGTTGTTCATCCTTGCAATCACTTGAAATGGTCCATCGCCTCTTGGCTGCAACTTAGAACACCTTTGTGCAAGGAATTGCTCCTACCACATATGCACCCAAACCCAATCTCCAGGTTCAAACACAACTTTCTTGTGCCCTTTGTTGGCTTGATTTGCATATTGGTCAGTCTGTCGCTCTATGTTTTGTCGCATCCTCTCACGTAGTTGCTTAACCACTTCAGCTTTCTTTTTCCCATCCAAACTAGCTCGTTCATCAATGGGTAATGGCAATAAATCCAAAGGGGTGAGTGGATTGAAACCATACACAACTTCAAATGGTGAACAGTTAGTTGCTGAATGGACGCTCCGATTATAAGCCAATTCAACATTTGGCAAACATGCTTCCCAATTCTTCAAGTTTTTTTGAATAATAGAACACAATAGGGCTGACAATGTCCTATTAACCCTATTTGTCCATCAGTTTGTGGATGACAAGTAGTCGAAAACAATAGCTTAGTTCCCAGCTTTCCCCACAAGGTGTTCCAAAAGTAACTCAAGAACTTAACATCGCAATCAGAAACAATAGTCCTTGGAACACCATGTAAATGAACAACCTCCTTGAAGAACAGATCAGCAATATTAGTTGCATCATTGGTTTTATGACATGGAATGAAGTGTGCCATCTTCGAGAACCTGTCAACAACAACAAAAATAGAATCGTGGCCTCTTTTCGACCTTGGTAAGCCCAGAACAAAATCCATAGATATATCAATCCAAGGTTCAGTAGGTATGGGTAAGGGAGTATACAAACCATGTGGTAAAACTCTAGATTTTGCTTGTTTACATGTTATGCACCTTTCACATATCCTTTCAACATCGCGTTTCATATGTGGCCAAAAGAAGTAATTGTTCAGAATATCTAAAGTTTTCCTAACTCCAAAATGTCCCATTAAGCCACCCGCATGTGATTCCCTTATTAACAATTCTCTTAATGAACAGTTAGGCACACACATAATCAATTTTCTCTAAATAAGAACCCATCATGCCTATAAAACTTATCAGAAGCTGCCTTCTCACATGCATTAAACACGTTAGCAAAATCTGGATCATTAGCATATAATTCTTTAATGTGCTCAAATCCCAATAACTTTGCACTTAGAGTAGAGATAAGTGTATACCTGCGAGATAATGCATCACCCACAATGTTTTTTTTTCCTTGCTTGTACTTGATCACATAGGGAAATGTGTCAAGGAATTCCACCCACTTAGCATGTCGTCTATTCATCTTACCTTGTCCCTTAAGGTGCTTCAACGACTCATGATCAGTATGTATGACAAACTACTTAGGCTAAAGATAATGCTGCCACATTTCTAAGGCCCTTACCAATGCGTACATCTCTTTGTCATATGTAGGATAGTTAAGTACTGCACCAGTCAATTTTTCACTAAAAAACACAATAGGCCACCGCTCTTGCATCAAAACAGCGCCAATGCCAATACCTAATGCATCACATTCAATGATGAGAACCCCAAAGAGAACAATGAGACCCACAGCACGACAAGGGATTTTTAAACTCAGGAAAGCTAAATCAAGTTTATAATAAGACCTTGAC